GGCGTCATCATCATCATCATCATCATCATCATCATCATCATCATCATCATCATCATCATCATCTCCGGGTTTGTTTATTTCTTTGCCTTTTCGAACAAACCAGCAAAAGATTCTACAAAATCCAGAATTTCAAACTTACTTTAAATAAGACGAGGACGCAAAGCGAGTCCAACTTTTTTGGGAGTATCCCCCCCCCCCCAGCTTTGAAAGAAAACCCCAGTCTGCTTCTCTCAGACGGTTACCGGTAAGTTTCTAGCACGGAGCATACTAAATTCTGAAGAAATGACGAAAGATGGAGCAATGTTCTTTCCTTACACACTAGCAAGCTGTTTTCCCCCAAGCCAACGGTGAGCGTCTTGCGTGTCTAATATGTCTGTGAAAACATTTAGGTTGTCGTTTTCCTGAGTTCTCGTCCTCGCGGGAAGCTCATCGCTCTTCCTCGTTCCCACGGTGCACTGCGCATGCCCAGTTACTTCCCTTCCCGTGGAAGAGGATGAAAACGGCAGGGAAATAAACCACGGAAAAAATCTGTAGCGCGAAATTTTTGCTAAGGGAAAAGATGATTTGTACGTCTTTGCCTAATTGTCAATAAATATACTGGCGGTGATTTTTTTCTTTTTTTTTTCTTTTGGTAGAAGGATAGTTGTTAACTCTGTAAGAACTATACAGCTATTCTCAACTTCTGCTAATTTGTATTTCAATAGTTCGGTCCTTCGACCCTGGTCTCAGCCGGCCCTATAATTAGATGGAATATTAACATATTAACATCCTCCCCCGCCCTCAAAATCAAAGAGAACACCCTACCCGACCCCCATTAAAGAGGAATTGGTTAATTTTAATAATCTTTGACTTGCTTTTATGTAAAGACGATTTTGGCCGTTGTACTAAAACAAATACGTGTGCTCACAAACGCGCGCGCACACCAGTTTCTTCGTCGCCCTTCTTGTCTTCTTACACCCCCTCACCCTAAACTCCCATTCCTTGCTACAACTCTCTTTCCGCTCATTCACTCCTATCTCTCACACAGTACTTGGCCCTCAAGCTTCTAGATCTTTCTCAGTTCTCAGTATTAATAATCCAAGACGAGATTACGCCCCCTTTACATGACACAGGGTAAATCCCCCCTCCCCCACATAACACCATACTACATACATGTACGTGGGGGCGAGCAAAAGATTTTTAAAAAAAATTCTCGTAGAAGATGGAGATTGAGCGAAGATAGAAACGTGTCCTGTTTGATTTTTAAAAAGGAGAGAAAAAAAGCTGCGGACGTCTTTTAAGCTTTGCAGCTTGCGCTCCTTGCATCATCAAAGGAAGGTGGCAACCCCCAGGGGGAGAGAGCGAAGCGTGTGTTTAAGTACTTACTAGAAGAGGGGCAATTTTATCTAATCTCCGCACACTGACTCTTCACTTCATGTGTTTAACAGTTTCCACCATACTAAACTCACTCTGCTCACGCGCAGACGCAGGGATACCGGACAGAGAGGGCTGTGTGTAACACCCAACGTCTTTTAGTTTCAGCAAGAGTTTTACGGCAATTGCAACACAAGAAGGTCAAACAAATTATGACGAAGCTGAGAGGCATTATAAAAGAGTAAAAAACACACAAGAAAAGAAGGAGATGAGATCAGGAAGCTAGACGTTTGATAGGAAAGAAGGAACAAACCACCCCCGAGCACACGCCAACCAACCACACCAAACGTTTCTCTAAGTAGAAATATCATGTTTATGGTGTTATTATTGCTGCTTTTGTTCTTGTTTCAGTGCTTGTTTTAGCTGTTACTACTGCTGCGACTGCTGTTGTGTGCTGGTGGTAATTTAAGCCGGCCAAACAATAACGGTCACATATAAATTTCACATGGAATAGGTGAAGACTAAAGAGATGCAGAAACGACACACGAGGGGCAAACCACGCCAGAGTGCTTACTAACCACCCGCGCAAGAAAAACAAACTGAAAGCAGCCATCCGTTACTTTAGCATCATCATTAGTGGTTTTGAATCCAGCAAAAGCTGTCAGTGTTAGTCCGCTGCGGGGGAAAACTAGAATTTATAATTTCATAAGAATCATTACGCTGCGGATTTTGAATGAGGCAGCTAAAAATCTAGATTTAAATCAACTCTGTTGGTATTAGAAAAAGTCACAATTTTATTTCGCTGTTTCTTTTTGTACCGGTCTGAGTAATTTCTCGATCTCCGGACACTCGGTAAACTATCATATCCGCTGACGATTTGCCTCTGGTTAATGGGATAGTCAATATGTCGGATGATCCAGTTTCGCCAAGTTTGTTGCACCTTTTCACCCTTCTCCTTATTCTGTGCTTTAGTCGAGAGGCCCGAGGCCCACCTTCCAATTTTAGCTCTTTACATCCCGCACTGGCTCTGAGTTCCCTCACCTTTCTTCGTCTTCTCACCTACGTCCCCATCTTTGCTCTCTCTCTCTCTCTCTCTCTCTCTCTCTCTCTCTCTCTCTCTCTCTCTCTCTCTCTCTCTCTCTCTCTCTCTCTCTCTCTCTTTTTCTCAACAATCGCTTTCTTCTTCTTCTTCTCTCTCTCTCTCATCCTCTCTCTCTCTCTCTCTCTCTCTCTCTCTCTCTCTCTCTCTCCCTTTCTTTCTCCCTTTCTTTCTCTTTCTCTCTCTCTTTCATTATATCTGTCTGTCTGTCCGTGTACCTCTCTGTCTGTCTGTCCATCTATCTTATGTTGGGCATTCAATAAGTCTTTGCCCTGACTATGACAAAATAAAATGGTCAGAAAACAATGAAACTTTCAGAATGCGATTTCAATATAATTAATCAACGCCTCGATCTCGGAGTTTCGAAAAAATGTCGATGATTGATTTGAAATTTAGAGCAATTTTAGAAGAGGTGTTTTTATAAACCACAAGGGGCACTGTTTTCCATAGGGGTGAAGATGCTCATATATCTGCAATAGAGGAATAGTTTGAGTCCCATCAGGGGGTCATATTATTATTATGCTTGAGGACTTTTGTAGATCAAGCCAAAAAAAATGGCGTAACTCTCAATTCGCAGGCTGACTATGTAGAGAAGAAGAATAGCGAGTGCAAGATCTGTCTAGTTTTTTTCTTTTATAATCAGAGTGAAAATGTATCCAACGACCCTCGTTTGCATCTGTTGTTTTTTTTTGTTTTTTTGTGTGTTTTTTTTTTAATGGATGGTCACTTTATCAA